AATGAACAGGGCGGGGCCGTTTTGAAACCGACGGGGTTCCGAGTACATGTAGTTTGTATGGAAATTTGCAGGTTTTCAACTAGGCGTCCGCCAAAACTTCAATTAGGCACTGTGTATTTTCTCGCAACCCAAATCCTAGAATGAAGAGGCCTGCGCGTGGGTCGCAAACGCTTGGCCACCATCTCCCGATAATAGCCCTTTTTCGTAGATGTAAGATTCTTCTTCTTTGGGACTGGGCGGTTCTAGGGCTGGTGGTCCGCCTCGCCCGAAGCAAGAAAGTGTAGTTAGACGCAATAATAAAAGCCCGCTAGGTCTCTTAGTGACGCCCATAAGCTCTACGCTCTCTTAAAAGTATGCTGTAATGATTGCAACTCAGCCTTCGTTTGCTGGGAGTCTCAATTGAACGAAAGGCGACGCTTGCCGGCTCTCCCCAAGCAGAGCTCTGTTTTTCGGAGCTCTGCTTTTTGAAGAATGAAAAACAAAAAGCACTTTATTTAAAAAATATATTGCTTCAACTCTCGACACAGGTACTCTTACTCCTCCTGCTGTGGGTGCCGCTGTACAGCCTGTACGAGTCCGCACATGAACTCACCAGGAGAGACCCCCGTTGGAAAAAACCACGATCTCGGCTCTCCCCAAGCAGAGCTCTCCCATCGGCGTGGCGGGTCTTCCTGCAGCACCGCCAGTAGCGCTTGCGCGCGTTCAGCCGCATGGGCTGAGCGCACTGAGGGCAGAGCATCGACCGCTCCAGCAGCCCCACCTCCATGGCCCACGCGACTGCCTTGGACTCGTCGGTGATCGCCTCCATGACGGTGCTGAAGTCAAAATGGCGGAGCTGCTGGAGGTTGTAGTTGTGGGCCATGGCTGGCAGATTCCCGAATGAGAGTAAAATTGCAACTGAGAGTAGCCTTATAAACGGAGTTGATAAATCTTTATATTAGGAGTTTGTATTCAAAGCCCAAGTTGTGACGAGCGCAATGCGCGTGAAAACGGAGCTACCACGTACTCTAGGCGCGAACACAGAAGCAAAGTGTATCTCGGTGTACTCCACATTAAATACTGACACAAGAAACAAAATGTCTTTCAGCAGGAAAACACTTTTTGTTTTGCGTTCTTGATAAAACGGAGCTCTGCTTGGGGAGAGCCAAAATCGGAAATGACTGCAATGCTAATGCTACCGTGGGCCCCGGGAGAGCGCGAGTTCGACTTCGCGGGCGAGGACGTCTGTCCGTTGTGGTTGGTGGCTGAGCTCCTATTCCTCTGGATAGTGTACATATGGGGGAAGCCTCATTCCTCGTGCTCCGAAAACCAGCTCTTCAGCTGTAGCCGACAGATGCCCAAATTGCAAATCATTGTTGACCACCAAAAAGTGTCAATTTTTCGCCTGATCGTGTTAGAAAGACTATTTAAAATAAGATTTTGGGAGACCTGCTGTCAGTGTTGATTTTTAACGTCCCTTTTTACTTAACTTAAGTGAAAACTAGTGTAAAAATGTAAAAATTCGATTTTCTAATGTAAAAATAGCAAAATATATCATTCCCCCCAAGTCAAACAAAAGTAGCCGGAAGGAGGCGAGGCGAAGAGCACGAAGCAGAGTTCGGCGGCGCTGTTGGATACATGCCAAGGTAAGCTAACAGCACATTCGCTTGTAAACTG